GTGATGCTGTTGATAGAGGTGATAGTGGTACAGGTGGTGGTAATGGTGTATGTGATGGAGGTAAAGGTGCTGGTGCTGTTGGGGTGGAAGGGATACTGATGGTGGAGGAAGTACTGGTGGTAGAATTGATGCAGGTGGGGGAGGTAGAAGTGATGGAGGTGGGGGAGGACATGAGGTACTGATACTGATGGTGGAGGAGGCGATGCAAGTAGAAGGGATGTAGGTGGCAGAGGAGGTGATTGTGGAAGAGGCGATGCAGGTGGCGGTCTCCAGTGGAGATCATCATGGAAGAGGTGGCCATAGCAGTGGCTGCGCAGTCTGAGGCTGGTGGTAGGTGCTGTTGGTAAGTCCAGGGGTTCTCGTGCCAGCTCCCCCTCCCTGCCCTGCTCCCTGGTCAGTCCTTCTCTCCCAACCTCAGTTTTCACTTGAGGAAAAGGGGCTCATGCCCATGGCCTCTCCTCCTCCTGGGGCTGCCCTGGGCGGCACAGGGACTGCAGTGGCCTTAGGGCTGGTGGGGGTGATCCTGGGCGCCAGGTGGGATGCTGATGGGGAGCATTTGGGCTGCCTCCCCCTGACACACCTCAGCAGCAGGGTACTCCAGGCCAGACTCTGGGGGGCTGTGGGGGATGGAATGGATGACAAAAGCTGCTCATGGTAAACAGCTCCAACTGGAGCCTGGATCGATTCAGGCTGTGAGGAGCTGTAATTAGATTGAACGCCAGGAAGGAGAGGGGGGCAAGCGGAGCCCCTTTTTGCTGTGATCGACAAAATGTGAAGTTTTTTCTCGACTCTGCTTCACCCAGCCCCTCCCCCAACCTCTGCCTCAGGGGCGCCCACTGGGCACTTGATTGGAGAAGGGGTAGACGGATGGGAAAGAGGCGACTCGCATCTTACCTCCCTTCCCATCTGGGCCAGTCAACCCTGATTCCTGTCCTGTACTTCCCTGCCAGAGCTTGTAGAACAACTCTGGGCAAGTGGCTCACTTTCACTGAGTACCTAAGAAGAAATATTCCTGCTAATGGAATTATTATAGGATTAAAAGATAGGACACATGTGGGCCGATCGAGTGGCATGACGGTTAAGAGCTGGCTTGGGACGCCAGAGGGCCCGGGTTCGGATCCCATATATGAGGGCCAGTGACACTGCCCTCTGCAGCTAAGATGCTGAACAACAGCTCAACCTGGAGCTGGGCTGCCGGGAGTCGCCTGGACGGCGTGGGCTGCAGCACCTGTGGCAGTGGGTTGCCATGGGCTACCGTATGCAGCCAGCGTGAGCGGCCAGCAGCCGCAGTGAGCGGCCGTCCAGAAGCCGGCGACTGATCTGCCTCGCCAGAGAAGAGCGCGATGATGGTGCCAACTTGGGCCAGTGAAGTGACATCCTCCACAACTAGACTGAAGAACAAAACGACAGCAACTTGTCTGTTCCCCTTCCCCCAATTCCCCAGCGCTGTTCCCATCCCCCCAATTCCCCAATAAAAATCTTAAAAAAAAAAAAAGATAGGACACATGTAAAGTTCTTGTGAGCTTTCTGAGGAGCAGTTGTATCTCTGTCCCTACAGTAAATGTAGGATAAATCTGTGAGTAAATTGCTAAGTGAATGAATGAGTGAATAAAATGAATGAGTTAAAGATTACAACAGGTAGGCAAGAAGGGGCTCCACTGGAATTTAAAGGTCTGGGGCTGAGTTTTTATTCTCTCCACTTGGCCTCGCTGCCTGAGACCCAGCTATCCCTTTGAAAGAATGGAGACCTGTCCCCCTCTTGTTACCCAAGTTCCAAGAAGATGGGAGACCAAGGCATTTCCGTGCATTTCCTTCCATTGTTTCTTTATGCAGATAAAATATGAACATATGTTCTTGCTCTCCCATTTCATATACAAAAGGCTGCCTAGTATCCTGTTTATCCCCTAGGTTTGCCTCACCATTTTTCCATATCCATACCACACCCTCTCCCTCTGTCAGCTTTTCAATATAGTTACCAATACATTCTTGCCTAAATCAATATTCAATATTAATATTATTATGATTTCAGTGAATATGATCCACAGCTGAGCCACATGGAGTACTGGGATTGAATTTCCTTTCATGCACAACTGTTTGTTTTTTCAGGACTTAATAGTTACCAATCATAAATTCTTCCCACACTTCCCAACAAAATGCGAAATCAACTCAGTAGGATTTCCCACACATATTAGGTTATCTCCCCTTCGGACTTTCCTTGGTGCTCCTGCTCTGATCTGGGTGGTGCTGCCCTCCTTGTCCTTGGTGCCTTTGTCCTGCTGTCTTCCAGTTTTTCCCCTCCTCATTTGGGCAAATCTCTTTTCCCTTTCTCTTAGGTTGAACCATGCATCTTCTGAATCCTACATCTTCCTTTTTTTGGTTTACCTCCTCATTTTGATGGAACAGTTCCTGCAGTAGATTTCTCAGAAAGAGTGCACAGAAGTCAACTTTTGGAGACCTTGAATGTGTGGTTATAGCTTTATTCCACCTTCATGCTTGATGTTTGACTTGGCATACAATTCAGGCTGAACATAATTGTCCCTCAGAATTGTAAAGGCATTGCTCCACTGTCTTCTAGTTTTTGAGAAGCCCAAAGCTACTCTGATTCTTAGTCCATCATATGACACCTGGTTTTAATCTCGGGGGGTTTTAACAATCTTCTCTTTTTTCCAGGTCTCTAAAATTTCACAAGGATGAGCCTTAGGGAGTGCTTCATTCCTTGAGCTGAGCACTTTATTTATTTTTTTTTTTTATTTTTATTTTTTTAGCTGAGCCATCCCGCCACCTGTTGGCAGCTCACGGCTGCTCAGCTCGGGCTGACTCGAACTGCTGTTGCTCAGAGCTCAAACTCTTGAGCGAGCTCTTAACCAACTGAGCCACTCAGCCGGCCCGAGCTGAGCACTTTAAACTGAACTCTCATGCCCTTCAATCCTGCATTCTTTTTTTATTATTTATTTGACAATTTCCTCCTCTAGTTTTGGATTGGATGCCTCTTGACAAAACCTGCTCAACTCATCCTGTAACTTTATTATCATCTTCCTCTCATTTTCCATCTCTGCATCTGCTTTATTCTGTTTCTAGGAATATTTGCTTAACTTTATGTTCCAATCCTTACATTGATTTTATTCCCGCTATTATATTATATATTTAGAATCTAACGCTTTGTCTGACCCTTTCATTGTCCTTTTTATTGAACGGCATCCTGTTCCTGTTTCATGGACACAGTATTTTTCTTGTACTCCTCCAAGAATATTAATTATAGCTTACCCGATTTGTCTGTTTCTTCTGAGATCATCATGCCCCTTGCCTCCTACCATTTTTCTTCTTTGTTCTCTCTCTCTCTCTCTCTCTCTCTCTCTCTCTCTCTCTCTCTCTTTCTCTCTGTCTGTCTCTGTCTCTGTCTCTGTCTCTGCCTCTCTCTCATTAGAGGCTTTTCTAAAATGTCCATAACCTCCAGCCATTACTCTTATTTAATCATAAAACCCAAAATAGCCAATAAGAAGTGCCATGTGTTCCAGGTCAGAGGGAGATGGAGTGAAGTGGTGAGTCAGGTCACATGGGAGAACCTATTGTCCCTGAGAAGTAAGCCACAGCACAGGGAACATTCATCTATTTTTGCAGACATGTGCGGACATTGATCTGGTATGCCATCTGGTTCATACTGTTCCAGAACCAAAATAAGCCAGCTTGGTGTGTAGTCCCAGCAGACCACTGAGGCTGGCAGTGAGGATATGCTAGTACAGCCTGCACTACTGGTCACTTCTAGGGAAGTAGCTGGGGGCATGGAGTTGATGGGAGGCAGGATTGGGCAGGCTCTCCAGCACCCACAATCCTGGACTGGTATGTGGCAGATAAATTGAGACGCTGATAGAGTTTGTGCTGATGCCACAAGCCTCCCCCAGCCCCTGTCTGATGAGGCCCATCTTTTCCCCCTGCTGGTCCCCACTGCATTGGGGGAGGGGGTCTGCTGTGGAACTGGAGCAGGAGCACAGGGGCCAGCCCTGCTCCAATACCCCAAGCTGCTATTTCCCCTTTGCAAGCATCAGCTGGCCATGGGGCAGCCTCCTGCAGCTTCTCCCTGCCCTGTGTCAGGCTGCCCTGGGAGAGGGAGGGGTGGTTGTCCACATCCTCCTTAGACCTTCCCAGCGTCACAGGGTCCCTTGGGCACTTGAGGGGGCAAAGTCTGGGTCTCAGTCTGTGATGTGGGGCAGGCCTGGGTGTGGGGTTCAGATATTGGAATCAGGCTGTGGAAGCCAATGACAGCCTAATATAGGGTCCCTAATGTGGTCAGGCCTCAGAGGACAGCCCAAAGAAGGAAGCATGGATTGTCACCACCCTTCTGAGAATTTGGTTGCCCCATCACTCTAGCGGGAGGTTACTGTGATTTGTGATGCACCCAAGGACCTATTAATTAACTGCATATTTCACCCATATACACTGAGCCAAATAATTCACATAGAGACCTTTCATGTCATTTCCCCCAACATCTCCCAGATGTGGGCTGCAGAAGGGAAGGGAGAGTCACTAACACCAACTGTTGTACTCTTTGGGGTGAAGGTTTGGGGATATGAGCCTGGGGAGGGGGCTGGGCTGCAGAATGGGGATTGGAGGGTGGTAGTCCATGCCTCTGGAGGTGTGCTCACACTGTGTCTCCTTCTTTGTCTCCCCCCCCCCAACTATCTTCCCCGTGCCTCTATGCCCTTCCCCACGACTGTCTGCCCTCCCTCTCCTTCCATTTCTGGCTGTCTCTACTACCTTATTGCTGCCCCGGTCTCTTCCATGTCGCCCGTCCTATTGACATTTCTGTGTGTCCCTGTCTCTTTCGGCCCTGTCCCTCCGCTGTCTCTCCATCTCGGTGCATTTCCCGTATTTCTGCTTTCCTGGTGTCTCCCTCTGTCTCTGCCCTGGTTTGTGTCCATGTTTCTCCTGCTCCTCTCGCCCGGCCACGCGGTGGCGCTGTCTCCCGCTCGCCTGCCCATCCGCTCGCCGCTACTCGCCCGCAGCCTGCAAGCGGAAGGAGCAGGAGCAGCAGAAGGAGCGCGCGCTGCAGCCCAAGAAGCAGCGCCTGGTGTTCACCGACCTGCAGCGGCGCACGCTGATCGCCATCTTCAAGGAGAACAAGCGACCGTCCAAGGAAATGCAGGTCACCATCTCGCAGCAGCTCGGCCTGGAGCTCAACACCGTCAGCAATTTCTTCATGAACGCGCGGCGCCGATGCATGAACCGCTGGTCGGAGGAGCCCGGCGCGGCCCCCGGGGGCCCCGCCGGCACCGCCACCTTCTCCAAGGCCTGAGGCGCCCCGCCCCCGCGCCCTCCCTGCTTCCACGGCCTGGGCGCTGCCCTCCCACGACTCCCACCTCACACTGCCGGCCGGAGACCCGCCCCAGGGGGCGCCTGGAGGGGGTGCAGTCCGGGCCCTCCACACCCAGGGAGGGGACGCAGCACACCCCCCAGCCCAAGTGCACAAAAAGGGCCCCCGTCCTCCCTCCATCCCACTCCTTCAGGCCAAAGGAAGCCCTCCAACCTCCCCCAGAGGGGTGACAGAAAGGGGCTCCCTAGCTCCCTCTGAATTCAGGACGTGCAGGGGCCTCTGGAAAACCAGGGCTCACCATGTCCTCCCGAAAGCGGGTCAAGAAGCACATACTAGAAATATAAACCGGGTATTTAAAAAAAAATTAAGAATAACTCCTCCTTCGCCAGCCCCTCACCCCCATAGAGGGAGGCAGGAGAAGGATTCCCCCCCTTCTGTCCTCCCGTGGACCCTTCCCGGAGAACTCAGCCCCTTCCAAAGTCACCACGTGGAGCCGGATCCCCACAGTGCCCCCATTTACACCAAAACCAAACCCATCCTCTGGCAGAACTGCCCCCACAGTCAAGAACCCAGCTGTCCCTCCCAGCGGCCAGGATTCCTTGTGCCAAGAATTGCCTGCCTTAACGTCTGGGAAGGGGGCCCGCAGCAGCGACTGCCCAGCACCCACAGGGGAGCACCCTCTCCCACCCCATCTGGACTGGAGGGGACTGCACGCTCAAACATGCGGGTAAATTCCAGACGCCTCCCCTCCCCGCCTTGCACCCCTCTGTCAGTTCACTTTAGCTTTAGGCACCTTGATGAATGACACACAGGGAGAGACAGACCACAGGAAACAGAAGAAGACACATCCAGATTCCACAGACCCAGAGAGAGCATCAGAGCCCCCCAGAGTCCCTGCGTGCTGGGGTCATGGTGTTGCTATCTGCCTGGAACCCTCTGGAAGTCACTCACCACCTCCCAGCACTGAGGGATGCTGTGCTGGGCCTGAAAGGGTGACAGGGGTGAGCCTGTGTTTGCTAAGTCTCTCTCCCCAGAGAAAAAGGTGGAATCTGCTTGCTCTGTTTTTTGCCAAAAAAAAAAAAAAAATCGACGAGGGGGAAGGAAGGGTCAGAAATGAAGATGAGCACCCCATCCACCTCCCCTGCTTATCTGGTCCAGGTGACCCCCAAGACTGGCCAGCAGCTGGATCCCAAGAGCCCACCTCCTCAGGGTTCAAGATCTGGAGGCTAGAAGGAACCTCTCCCCCCACAACCCAGTCCCCTTTGCTGCTTCCCAGGGAGGTGGCCACCCCCCACCCTTGAGAATGCAAGAGACATTTCTAGTAAAATGCCCCTCCCCCACCCTCTCCCCCAGGTAAAGGCTACCTCACTCAAACGTTCATGTCTGTGATTGGAAAAATCACATCTGATACCAAAGATTTTCCCCCAAGGACTTGTGCTGGATGCTAGAATTCCCTGCCTCCGACAATGTGTGCAAGACCCTGCCCTGGAACCTGCCCTCCAGGTGCCACCGCCCCCCCTCCCCCCCACACACACACCAGAGAGAGAGAGAGAGAGAGAGAGAGAGAGAGAGAGAGAGAATGAGAATAGTGAGGTCGATGAGTGCCTTTTTCTTGAACCAAAGATGTGTGTGAAATGTTCTCTTGTCCTTATCGACTCACTATTGTCCGGGCTTTGTAAGCAACTGGATCTGAGTGATGCTTCTACAACCTTGGGTGTTGGGGCATTATTCTGTAAGAGTTCCCATTCCTGCTCAGCAACCAACTCCTCCTCCCAAACACAGGTGGGCATGGCCCCTTCCTTCCACCCCCACCCCCCCCACACACACACACCCTGCTAACACCTAGGCCCCACTGGCCAGAGCACCTGCTTGCAGGGGACAAGTCTTCTTGGACACCCTCTTCTGGGCAAGTCACTTGCTCTTCTGGGCATTCAAGGCCCAAGGGTCAGAGGCCAGGGCCCTCCTGTTCTATCTCCTGCTGAAAATTTACGAATTGTCTTGGGATCCTTCTGGTTGTAGAACATTCTAGTTATGGTCAATTGTGGTCAGGTGGGGTCAAGCCCCATTGACACAGTTCACTGAAGCATCCCCCCATTCCTCTGTCCCTTTCTAACACCTTCATATCACACACGTGTGCACACGCACACACATACCAGCTCCCGTACCCCCATTCCCCACTTGGCCAGCCACCTCCAGCAGGTCCACACTCCAACCTCTCCCTGAACCCCCTTGGGCCCCCCAGACCTGTCTCCAACACCCAGCTGGTCGTCACAAACCAAAGACCATTCTCTGTGCAGGGAGTGACGCCTCCAGCACAGCTCCTTTGAGCCTTTGACAATTTTCTCTGAAATACCTCAAAATATTTAATGTATAGTTTATGTGATTTAAAAAATCCTTAGCTAGTTTTTGGAACACGTGACTTGAAGCTTTATACCGTTAAATTATAATTTTGCAGACGATGGTATGTCATTTCTTTGACGAGTTCTGTGGGAGACATATTGAATGTTGGGGCGGGGAAAGCTGGGTGACGGTCAGAGGCAAAAGGCGGAGGGAGCAGGAAGGAGCAAGGGACTGAGAGCAAAGGACCAGGCGTTTACAGATTTATTTAAACGGGTCCTTTAGGAGAGAGAGAGAGAGAAGGACACCTTTGTGTTCTCTGGCGTGTTCTGTTTTGGAGTCATGTCTTATAAGAGTATTTATTATTCTATGTGTTCTGTGTTCAAATGTAATTTAAGAAAAAAAGGAAGAAAAATGGAAAAAAAGACGCAATGGAATTTGATGCATGACTAATGTACTCTTTCTTGATGATAATGTACTAAGTGGATGGGGTGGGGGGTGGGGATGGGGCATGGGGCCGGAGCCCCGGATTCCATGTGCATCATTGTGTTTTGTGCCCGATGTTGCTGTTCGGGCCCCTTTGCACTGCTCTCTGTTAATTTCCCCCTTTCCGAGGGTCTGTGTTCAGCTGGTGGGAGGTGGGGAGGAAAGAAAGAGAAGGCAAACAGCAGGGCCTAAGCACCAAGACCGGGTCCCCACCTCCGGGCACCCATATGCCACCCGCCTGTGCACACAGGTCCTCCTGTTCCCAGTCCTTGGGCAAAGGTGGCTGCCACTGCCATCTTGGACTGGTTGGTTTCACATTAGCATGAATTCCTAAGTGTCTTGTTCAGAGGAGAGAGACAATCAGTCAATTCAAGTCTTGTTGCCCAGGGCGGTGGGGAGCTGGGGTATACCCCAACTTCCCAAGATCCAAAGAAGCCTCCTCAGACACCCCCCAGGACAGGGCTCCACCGACACCCCTAGCCTCCTTGGCCCTGGGCTGGGCCTGAGTTCACCTTTCTGTCTGGCTTGGGAGGTGGGGGATGCATTTCTGTGGAGCCCTCCTCCCATCCCACGTTGGGACCCTGGACAACAGAGGGGCCTCCCAAAATCATAAAAGGTGGTCTGGGACAGTCTCCCTGCCTGTGACTCTAATTCTGCCATGAGGCTCCACACTCCCACCAAGGGAGAGCCCACCTTCCAGGACAAGCCCCAGAAAGGAGTCCCCTCACACCCTGAAGATCAGAGGTCCCAGTTTGGAGAGCTGGCCTTGGGCTGCAGGCTTAACTCAACCAAAATGAGGGTGGGGGTAGATATGCCTCAGGGTCCCTGTCACCCAGCCCCTGCACCTGCTGGAACTGGGGCCATTTCAGTTTCTCCTCCCAAAGCTTTTAAGCCACATCAGCCCATCAGATTTCTGGGCTCCTCCTTGTGGCCCTGGCAGACCCCCCACCTCCAATACTAGAGGGAACAGAAGCCCTCTTTGTCCCACCCTCAGACAACAGGCTTAAAAGTTAGGGGGAAAAAAAAATCATCATCATTGTTAACCATTGCTGTGCTGGATTTGTTTTGTTTTTCTCCAATAAATTATTTTCTAGTCACTCACTTGGGTGTGTGTATTGGCTGACCGTGGGGGTGGGGGTGCAGAAGGGGGAGGAGTGGAGCTCACCTACCATGAAGATGGGCAGAGGGGGAAGGGACAAGGGAGGAGGAAGTCCTCCTCACCCAGCCCACCTCTCTCCACTCTGAACCCTGCCCTCTTCCAAGGTCACGGCCCTCCCTGAGCCCCCACCCCCTCAGGGCAATACCTTCCACAGGAACAGTTAAGAATCAGAGAGAAAAGCCCAGGCCTTTGAGCCAACCAAGATTCACAATGAACATCTTGTCAGAACCTGCGTCTGAGGCATCACTACCCATTGCTTTCTGGAGCCTGAAGTGTAAGGGGGTTTATTTGAGGGGAAGAGGCCAGGGCAGCCTGGTGGGGGAAGACGCTTTGGTAGTGCCAGAATTGGATCTTATTGAGCGCCCTGGGAGGGGCCAACAGGCAGCAGCTGGGGAACCAGGGCTGGTAAACAGAATCTGCTCAGCACCTTTCTCCCTCCTGAGAGCAATAAAGTTTTATCCACATTATATACCCCAGAGTGAAGAAGGAAAAATAAACAAATAAATAAAATAAGCTTTCCCTGTAAATCCCGCACCTAGCCACTAGAGGTTAGTGTTTTGAGACTATTCCAGGATGCACCAGGGAAAGAGGCATAGGAAAAGAGTGAGCCTCAAGAAGCTTTGGGGTCAGATGGACCCTGGTTTATTAGAAAAGGAAAAGGATGTGAAGCCCTTGTCCTCGGGGGAATGCCTTGTGCTTGCTGGTTGACATTTACTGAGCCTGGGAACTCACTGTTCCACTCGAGACAGAGGTGGCTGTCCCATCAGAATAGGTGGAACTTGGTTCCCGCCAGACACTGGCAGTCACTCCATGGGTGATGGCTGCCTCTCTGCGGGTGAGGGCTCCACCTCCATCAGCTGCTGACTTGTGGATGAGTCTCCCCTACTTGGTGGCAGAATTTCCACCACAGGAGTGTGGGTCTCATTGGGAAGTGGTGCCGTCCCCTGCTGGTGGGGCTGGGGCTCCTTTTGCCAGATGTATGGCCAACTCTTATGGGACA